ACGGGCCTTCAATTCGTTTCCGTTCACGCAGTGCTGGGCCGGGGGGGGGTGGTAGTGTGAGGGCGCGAGGACACAACTACGCGTGTATCATTGGGGCGTCCACGTATTTCTGGTAGTGGAGAGCGGAAGTACCTTTCGCAAACTGAAGAAGCTTTGTGTCGTTTTTTTTTTGGTTTTCTTATTTGTGTGTCGTTTGTTTTGTGTCGGCGACCGCGGCACCGTGCGTGCCGTCGTCCCGCCTGGACGTTTCTCCCGTTTTTCCCATGCCATTTCGGTGCTGCACGCCCTTCATTGCAACCCTTGTGCGTGGGCGCGTGGCGGTCGTTCGCCTCCTCCAGTTTTCAGCGTCGCGGTCGGGCAGCAGAGTCGCATTTATGTTTTGCTCTTCTGCCCCTCGCCGCGTTGATTGCTGGTGCCCACCAACGCATGCCCGTGCGTGCTTCCTCGTTGTAGTTGCGCGGGCCGGGGGAGGTGGGGCTGCGATGGACGCCATCGTTGCGACTGCCCGCCGCTGCGGGGGCGGGGGTGCAGCGAGACAGTGGAGAAGAAGGGGCGGCAGCAGCACAGCTGCCACCGCCGCAAGAAGGAGGTGTGGGGCCGGACATGAGCTGGAAGAGGCGACGATGGGAAGCGACGCGCAACGCAACTGACGATGGGTGCATCAACACACACACGCGAGGGCCATATGCAACCCGCGTAATTTAGAGGCAGTCCGAGACGTCGCTTACGAAGGGGCCGGTCCCCAACTTTTCTTTCCGCTTGCACCCTGCCAGTTTTCTGCCGGCATCTGAGGCAGAGTGTGGGGGGAAGCAACGACGAAAGCCACCGAGCATGGGAGAAAGGATATGGGGGCGACAGGAAAATTGTATCAACCAAACGGCGAACTGAACAAAAAAGGAAAAAAAAAGAAATGAAGAGGGATCGGCAGTGCATGCATTTCTTGATAGATGCCGGCAAAACAATGGGGAGACGAAGGAAGGTGGCTTGGAGCGAGTAGCAGCGGGTGAGACGGAACCCACTGCGCATGGCACGACGAATAGGTGAGCGGCGGTGGGGAGAGAAGAGAAGGTCAGACCAAAGACGTTGCCGTTTGCACTAGTGCAATAAAACTGTGTGTGCGCGTGCGTGTGGCGGTGGGGGAAACATGCGACGAGAAGAGGCTAAACGAACAACTGCGTCTCTTCTTCACCCGCCCCGCTCATTTACCAAATACTTGCCTTCGTGTGTTGTGCTTTGGTTTGTTTTTACCGTTCTGGAAGGCAGCGCGAGTGTCCGTTTTTTTTTTGTGTGTGTGTATGTGTGATATTTTTTGTGTTTTTTTTGTCTCTTCCCACTCACTGCCACCTACCCTGCTGTTGCTGCTGCCGCGAACTCCTCCTCTCTGGAGGAGTCTGGTGGTTGCGAGGCCCTACAGACGGCCACTTTGTCAGCTCGAAAACGTGCCGGGGCATCTCTCATTCACTTATGCACGAATTCCCCTACTGGCGCGTAATTGCGTTGGATGGATCCCCGCGCGAGCGGAGGATGTTGGGTGCACTGAACGAAGCGACAATATTCTGTACTGTGTTCGTGCTGTTTCTGTAGTAACGGCACGAACGTGGCCTCATTCCTGGCGCAGATGTTGTACATAGTAAGTGGAAAAAAATAGCGACATGCATAGGCGCATAAGATGGAAAGAAATGATGGTGGCCCTTTCAGGGGAGGGTGGGGGTGGGTTATGCTGTAAGAGAAAGCCACTGGGGGGAAAAACGGCAACAACTACAACAACTACAGTGAACACACAGCATCAAAGACGATGTGGCCAACAAGAGACGTCGCCGCAGAAATTAAAAAGCAACTAAATAAAAATGAGCTGGTGGGAGGAGACGCGTTGCGCATGAGACTGCAGTGCGTTGACGTGCACTGTAACCAGATCTCTTCTTTGCCGTGCATTATTACTGTTAGCGAGACAGCCCCCTCCCTTTTTTGTTTTTGTTTGTAGTGTTGCTTGTTTCCCCTCCTTTTCTCTTGCCAACACTCCGCAGAGCAGTTTTTTTTTTTATAGCAGTCCGCCAGCTCTTTCGGCTTGCAGTTGTTCTTAGCCACTCACGTGTATGCAGCTTACATCACACCTTCTCCCTGTTGTTTTTTTTTCTGTGTTTCCTTAGTTCTTTTCTTCAAGTGGCATTGAACACACATGGTGCGTGTTTCACTACTTGAGTTTTTGTCCAGTTTTCTCTCTCTCTCTCTCTCTCTCTGTTGAGTGTGTGTGTGTGTGATGGGACGGGCGGCGTGGCATGCCCCGCCCGTCTCCCTGTCTTTGCCGCACTTCTCGCCCCGTTCTTGTTCTTCTTGTTTGCGTGCCGCCCAAGGAGGGAGTGGCGGGGAGGAGTGTTCCGTCGCGGCGAATGCACGTCGGCTCGTCAGCCGTGCTCACCGTGACGCCGGCGGAGAAGGCGCTGCTTTCGTCCGGGCTGCCCTTCGCGCGCAACAAAAAGGCCCCGACGCCGCAGCAGGACCGCCTCGACAGCAGCGGCAACAGCGGAAGCAGCAGCCACCGACGAATCCCGGCGGTGGAGCCGGTGCCGCCGCCGGCGCAGTGTGCCGTGGCCGCGGAATGCCACGAGGCAGACGAGACACCAAACGACTACACATCCTTTGAGTCCTCCGTTGACTCGGCCAGCGGCAAAGGACCCAAGGAGCGTCATCGCATACGTTCGCTCTGCGACTTCCTGGAACGTTACAAGATACGAGGTTGCCTAGGGCATGGAAGTTATAGCGTCGTTTTCGAGGTCGTTAACCGCAAGACGAAGGAGCGAAAGGCGGCGAAGTTTATCGTTGCAAAGGACACACCGCTCGCCGGAAGGAAGAGCGGCGGTGATGCCAGTGACAGTGCTGCCAAGGGAAAGCTGGCAATTGGGGGTGGGCGGCGCATCAGCAGCGGCGCCAACTCCGCGTCTAGGAGGCTCTCTGAGTCACTTGTGAAGGAGATCGCCGTCTCTTTCATGGCAGATCATCCCAATTTGGTGCACACGACTGAAGTCTTTGTGGAGGACGTGGAAAACTTGCACCGACGCGTGTGGCGGTATAACTCACAGCTCTTCATTGACTCCTCCGTGTCTTCCAGCGTCTCTGCAAAGCGCAGGATCAAGCAGGAGCCCGTCCTTCTTGTGACACAGAATAATACCGCGCCACCTCGTCGTTCCATGTTGTACGATTCTGCTACTGTTAGGAATGTTGCAAGTGGTGGTGCTCCGGAGCAACGGCAGGGGGTGCTGCCCGCCGTGCCCGCGTCTTCAGCGTTGGTGGAATCCACCACTGACACCAATCAGTCCGCTATTGTGAATGCGAAGCGGCAACTGCAGGAGGGACAGGTGCAATGCATCCTTGTGATGGAACTGCTGTCCGGCCAAGAGTTATTTAATATAGTCTCTCGGGGCCCGATCAATGAGGCAAGGGCGGCGTCCTATATGATGGACTTACTCTTGGCTCTGCAACATCTTCATTCCCAGCAAATTGTTCACCGTGATGTAAAAGTGGAAAACATTGTTGTTGATCTCCAGAACAAAGCACGCCTCATTGACTACGGGTTTTGTGAGGGATATCATTGGTCTTGCAAGACGACCGCAGGCGGCAGCGGGAACGCACGCAACGGGGGAGAAGACAGGCCGTTAACGGAGTTCTGTGGATCCTACCACTATGTTGCCCCGGAGGTTATTCGGGCCTCCATGCGGTCGCGGCTGTCGTCGACGCCAAGCGGCCCCAAGCCACCCACCAGCTGTGCTGGTGTGAAGCTGCCTCCCATATTCACGGCAACTGGCAGAGTTGTGGGTGGCAACGCAACGACCCCGAACGCGGTAGCCGAGAATGAGGAGAACAGGCGAGAGATGCAGTCGGCCGCCTCCATCCACACGCTGAGGAGGCTCCTATCGCCTGGAAATGTGGGATACGGCACACCAGTCGACTTGTGGTCGGCAGGCGTCGTGATGTTTGTCCTCCTACACTCCAACTTCCCCTTCCATGACACAAGCCGCTCGAAGCTACTCAAGTTGATAAGCTCGGGGCGACAACCGGTGCGACCGTCACCGCTGCTCAGTAGTGATGCCAAAGACCTCCTGCGGCAACTGCTGACGCATGACGCCCGTCTTCGGCTGACGGCGGCGCAGGCCGTTGAGCACGCATGGTTCAAGCAGCTGCTCAGGAAGGGGGAAATAACGAGTGCCGATCCGTTTTAGTTGCGTGTGGGGCGGGGGGCCACTGCTGCGCCGAAAACGAATCCCCCACCAAAAAAAAAAAAGTTTAGCCGACGAGAAGCGAAGTGTTTGGCAGACATTGCTTTTTTACTGCATGACGTCTGCCGGCTCATTGAGTTCCCCCCCCGCCCCATCCTCCTCTACCAGGGGGAGGAGACCTGCACAAAGGCGTCTTAACTGCTCTTTGAGAAGTGACGTGAGTGTCCAAAAGAAAGATCAAATGGGTGAAAAACGAGGAGGGAAAGAAAGAACAACGGAAAAGAAAACC